ACAGGAAGAAGTTTCCCTCCAGCACCGGCCTGGATTTAAAGCTTCCAAAAAAAGCACAGACTCCCATTAAGGCGACGGAGACCTCAGATCAGTGCTCGGAGGGAAACTTCTTCCCTTTGAGTCCTTTGTAAGAAGAGGAGCATGGACTTAATAGCAATAAACACAGCCACAGCAACCGCCTGTCAGTCACCTGCAGAGAGGAACGGCACCTCCTAGTGTAGCCAGACTGAAACAGCACCGGCACCCTCGCACTTTGGAAAGGAAAGGGAATTTATACTTGGAAGACTGAATGATTTGATGAAAGAAATGACAGAGAGGATTTTTTCACCATTCCTTAGTGTCTTTTTTTTATACACATGCATATATATAAAACGTTGCCCTGCAATACTGTTCATCTGTGGGCGTGCCTCTGTAAGTGTGGTGTTTGTATTATCACTAGGCCCTATGGGCACAAGCAGATCACGTCTTGGACTTCTCCTGCTCCCCTTCCATTTCAGACTTTCGGCCTTAACTATGAAGCCAAAAAAAGAGGAAAAGTACCGGATATAATTATACAAATGAAGAAATAACATCTTCAAACCATGCAATTGTGGGGTTCTTTTTTGTTTTTTTATTAATGTTCACTCAAATACACTCTGTCTCGTCTTTTTAAGAATGATTTTACCAAAACAGTATTTATACTCTGAAAGGACAGAGTTCTTGTTTACAGGGATAATAGGATGTGCTCTTTGTGACACATCGGAAGAAAGGAAGGATAACGAGTTGGAGGCGGGGCAGAAAGCCAAACAGAGTGTCTTTATATTTGTGTGCCTGCTGTATCTGAAGGGATGGTAGATAGCATCGGTCTGGACCACTGAACGAGTGAATTGCGTACAATCAGTCTCAGTGCGAAGGAAGGAACAGGGAAACAAGAGTATATGAGCCTAAGAGAAGGGATTTCTGTGTCCACCGTGGTCTGCACCACCTCCAAGTGACTGTCTTAGTTGTAAACACTTAGTAATGAAAAAAAAAAAGAGTTGACTTTTAATCACTTTGTATATATTTGTCTGGCCGTCAGTTTCAAAGAGATCTGAGAATGTATTTATTAGTCGATTCACCGTGTCTTCACTAATTCAGGACAAAGGACCTGGAGCAACAATCACTCCTTTAGGGTTAGCCAGTTGGTCTGGTTATGTGCTCCAGCGTGATTGAATACATGTAAGCCTGGAAGTCTTTTTTTTGTATTTTTATTTAAACACAACACAGCCATGATGGTGGATCTGTTGGTCTCCGAGTTACGTTCTGATCACCAGTAATCGTCCTGCAGAGAACCAACAGCACAACAGAAGCTCAGCCCTATGAATGCTTGGATTAATACCTTAAGTTTCTTCTTTTCACTCATGTTTTCTACTCTGCTGCCATGTTGTGGGGATCTACATGCCAGATATTTTTGTTGTATGGAACACAATAATATAACACAGTAATGTTTTCATTCATATGTTGATACTGTAGCACTACAGTAAAAATGTTTCACCCCTGGAGCAGTCTGTGTGTTCTTGTTCTCTGCTCCAAACAAACCTAAAGATTCTAGAGCTGTTGCTCTAAATCTCCACCAGATGGTGATGCTGTCATCCATAAAGTCAGATCTATGTGGGCCTGAAGAAACCCTTTATGGGATTACTTTGTAATATAATCTAACTTTATCACTGCTTTCATTACTGTTTAATGTATCCACCTGTTTTACTGGTTAAGATATGCACTGCAAAATTTGAAATCAGAAGTTATTTTTTCTTGAATTGAGGGGCCAAGAAAATGTACATTTCAATAGAAAAAAACAATTGAATTATTTATTTGAAGTGCATTGTATCATATTTTAAGATTAAAACAACGCATTCCATTGGCTAATTTATTTACTTGCTTAAATTAAGCCTAAATACACTTAAGAAATTTTTTTTTATTTCTAGATCGTTTTTTGCAGTTTGAATGTTTGCTGGTTTGCCTCATATTACTGTGCAACACATTGCCACATGTTGCATGGTTTTAAGTGTGTGTTTTAAAGATAATTACACTAAATTGAATATCAAGAAATGTCTCCTGAGAAGAAAATGGGATAAGAAATCCCCCAAACTTTATGATCTTTATGACTAGAAAATAAAAATCTAGCCCATTTATATTGCTGTTTTTTGAAAGCAAAATTGGTTTACAAGATTAATAGAAAGAGCTAAGGTAGGAAAGTAACTTAGATAAATATAATTGGATTATAAAATACTATTTTTATCATAAACTTACGGTATATATACGGTGTGAAATGGAGCCTAGTCGGAGGTTCAGCTGAAGAAACGAATTGCTCTCCTACATCCACCTGCGACACAGCCAATCAGCTGTTTGTTCCTGTGCGCAGGCGGTGGATGCGCTGTGACTTCAATCAGATGACAAAGTTTCAACCCACCTCCAGCCCCTCCTCCACCATCGTAGCTAAAGCTTCATCAGAGTCTCACTGCGTTTTCATCTCAACCGGTCCGGAAGAAGACCACCATGTTGAACCTGGTTCTGCCAGAGGTTTCTTCCCTACGGGGAGTTTTTCCTCTCCACTGTCGCTTCATGCTTGCTCATCATAGACAGGTTAGAGGTGAAGCTCTAGTATCAGCTCACGCAGTCCACTGGATCTCCCCATAAACCTCAGCATACCGTCTCACTAACCAGCAGTCTAAAGACTGACCAACTTCATCTATCTCCACTCCACCACCAGGCCTGGGGGGAAACATATCTGCAAAAATTAAGCACTGTGTGTCCAGCCGTGTGAGTTTTTCAGATTGAACTGTTGCAGAACAGGAACCAGACGAGTGTGAATCATTTTAACGTCTAACTGCAAAAGGGAAGATCTCTGCCAAAATGAAGGCCTATGGGTAACCGAACCAAAGTGTGAGTACAAAGTACTATTAAGAAGATATTTAATGTAAATTTAAGTTCAGCTTTTTAGAATGGCATTACAAAATAAAGAATTGTAGGAAGTGGTTTTTGAAAATAAATAGTTGCTTTGATCGTGAGAAAATGAAATTAAAGGGAAAAAATACCAATATGAAAAATATTTTTTTCATTTTCAGTTTTCATTTCCCCTTTCAGCTATAGTGAGATATATCACTTTTTTGTTTATTTTGATAAACAGATATTCATCAGAAAGTATGTCACTGACTCTACTGACCATGACGAATCATGAGTGGTATGTCCAAGACTTCTTATCAACTTTAAAGAGAAAACGCTTGTTACCTGCAAAACCCCTGAGTGGATACTTGGCAAATAATCAAGAACGCCTGAGACAGAAACTAAAGAGAAGAAAGGAATGTGTCTGGGGTTTCTTGGGTTCCTTTAGATACCAGGATTCTTAGGCTCAACTGGATTTACACTTCCTGTGTGTTAAGGAAATATTTCATTGATTGAAAGGGTAAAACTGGTCTGACAACTGGGCGTTTTTGACCAGATGGAACTGAAGATCTGAACTGAAGAAGGAAAAGCATTATTAGTGAATTGGTAAATAGGCTTACCTCTTTAGAGAAGACAGGAAATAACTTTAGTTTGGTCACTTATGAAGTATTCCTCTTCTAAGATGCATTAAGGAAAAAGTCCAAATGAAAGCGCCTAAAGAGGTCTGATTTATCACTTTTGGACAAAAAGAAATCCAATTAAAAAAAACTTTCTATAGACTGACAGAGTTGTTTTTATATGACCAGCTGTGAGTTTGGTTTCAGTAAGGACCTACAATAACAATAAAAGCATAACCCCAGTTCTTAGAATAATATGAGCGAGGTGTCTCGCTATGGGATGCAGCCTCCTGCAGCCCTGATAGAAGCATCTATCTCAATCTGCCAATCCTGATTGGCCGGTGGAAGTGCCCGTCATACGCCACGCCCCGTAGCTCCGACTACTAAAGCGTGTGCGGATCACGGCACTCCAATTCAACAAGAAAACCTCTTCTTGCCGCCCTGCAAGAAGGGTCGTCTGGCGAGACACCTCGCTCATATTATTCTAAGAACTGGGGTTATGTTAGATAACCAAACGTTCTTTTTCATAATATTCACTCGGTGTCTCGCTATGGGATATGGTAGCTCCCGTATTGTCAGACAGCTTATCGAACAAGAACCGGCCGATGGGGAAGGTCCACAAGGTCAGTTATGACTCTAGGACCGCACTGGCCACGCACGGTCCAGACACGTCAAGCATGTAGAACCGGACAAAAGTCAGAGGCGAAGACCAATTCGCCGCTGAACAAATGTCCTGAACGGACACTCCCCGAAATAAAGCCCAGGACGCAGCCATCCCGCGGGTAGAGTGTGCACGCAGACCCGCCGGGGGCTGCAGACCCCTGCTTCCATACGCCAAAGCTATAGCCTCCACCACCCAGTGGGCGAGGCGTTGCTTTGTGATCGGCTGCCCCTTACGGGGCTCCGCCCAGGAGAATAAGAGCTGATCACTCATCCTGAAGCTCTGCGTCCTGTCCATATAAGAGCGCACGGCTCGAACAGGGCACAGCGTGTGCGCTCGCCGTTCACCTGGGGGGGCGGCGAACGCCGCTAGCTCGATCGGTGAACAAGAACCAACCACTTTAGGAACAAAGGCCGGGTTGGGCTTCAGAACCATACGCGTGTATTCCGGGTCGAACCGGGTACATGCGGGGCTCACAGAGAGCGCATGAATGTCGCTGACTCGTTTCGCAGTGGCCAGGGCCAGTAACAGCACTGTCTTGAGAGACAGATGTTTAAGACTGGACCCCAACAACGGTTCAAATGGGGGTCCCTTAAGCCCCTCCAGAACCACCGACAAATCCCACGGAGGCAGCAAAGGTCTGGAGACGGGGAGGAGCCTGCGGGCACCCTTCATAAACCGACAAACCAAAGGGTGTTGGCTCGCCGTTTTGTCTCCAAAACCTATATGGCATGCTGCTATAGCTGCCAGATAAACCTTAACCGTGGAAAAAGCTTTTCCTTTATCAATCAGTTCCTGTAAAAACGACAGAATCGCTGGTACAGAACACTGAAAAGGAACGTAGTCCCGTTCAAGACACCACCGCTCAAACAGTCCCCACTTGGAGCCATATAGGTTCCTAGTGGAGGGAGCCCTGGCGTTTTGGATAGTATTAATTACACTCTGAGGGAGCCCGGCAGTGGTTAAATTAAGCCACTCACGGGCCAGGCCCACAGCTGCAGTCGCTCCGGGTGTGGGTGGTACACTGTCCCCGCACCCTGCGAGAGCAGGTCCCTGCGCAGCGGCAGCTCCCAAGGCTGGGCGCACAGCATCTGGAATATCTCCGCCAGCCAGTGTTGCGCTGGCCAGTGCGGAGCTATTAGGATCAGTCTGTGGTTGAATGCCCTCACTCTGGCGAGAGTGGGGGGTATCAGGGCCAGCGGTGGAAACGCGTATAGCAGCTCGTGCGGCCAGGCGTGCGCTAATGCGTCTACGCCCAGAGGGGCATTCAGAGTGCTCAGAGAGAAGAACAGCTCGCATCGAGCGTTTTCCCTGGACGCGAACAGATCTATCTGAGCGCGCCCATAGCGCGCCCATATCTGCTCCACGACCTGTGGGTGCAGCGTCCATTCCCCGTACACTGGCGCGCCTCTGGACAGCAGGTCCGCACCCGTGTTCAAGTCTCCCGGGACGTGCGTCGCTCTCAGGGAGAGAAAGTGGGTACTGCTCCAGAGAATCAGGTCGCGCGCCAGATTGTGCAACATGCGGGAGCGCAGGCCCCCTTGGCGGTTGATATACGCCACTGTTGTCGTGTTGTCCGTCCTCACCAGGACATGGTGACCCGAGAGGAATGGGAGGAAGTGTCTCAGAGAAAGAAACACCGCCGAAAGTTCGAGAAAGTTTATGTGAAGGCGCTGGAGGGCCTGGCTCCAGCGACCCCTCACAGACCTGCCCTCGTGAATGCCGCCCCAGCCTGATAGGCTGGCATCCGTGGTTACCACTTTCCTGGACGAGACGGTGCCCATAGGCACCCCTTGGGTCAGGAAGGACGGGGCTCGCCAACAGCGCAGAGCTGTTATACAGTCCGCTGTGACCGTTATCCGCCGTGCGCCATGACGCACGGGGTCCATTCGGAGCGAAGCGACCCAGCGCTGAAAGTCCCGCATGTGAAGGCGGCCGAGGCGAATCACGAGGATGGCTGAGGCCATCAGACCCAGCAACCGAAGGCACAGTCTGAACTGGACAGACCTGTGCAGACGGAATTGTGACAGGCACGTTCTGAAAACCGTCACTCTTTCCTCTGACAGGCGGGCTGTGAACGGAACAGAGCGCAGGGATAATCCCAGAAAGCATATCTCCTGCGTTGGAGATAGGTGGCTTTTTTCCATATTTATCACAAAACCTAAATCCATCAGGTGTTTTGTGACAATGTGTGTGTGAACCCTGGCTTCCTGTTCTGACTGCGCTAACAGGAGCCAGTCGTCTAAATACGTGGCCAGACGTATCCCCCGGCGTCTGAGCGGGGCTACCGCGGCCTCTGTGCACCGTATGAAAACCCTCGGACTGAGAGACAGACCGAATGGTAGAACACGGTATTCGTAACACACCCCTTGAAAGGCAAACCGGAGATATTGTCTGTGAGGGGGATAAATGGGAATGTGGAAATACGCGTCTTTCAGATCCACGGACGAAAACCAGTCGTTCGGTCTTACTAGACGCAACAGAGCTGCATGTGTCAGCATCCTGAACTTGTATTTCCGCAGGAATTTGTTCAGGGCTCTTAAGTCCAGAATAGGGCGGATTCCTCTCCCCCCCCCGTTTGGGGACGAGGAAGTATCTGGAATAAAACCCTGACAGACTCTGTTCGGGAGATACGACAAAAACTGCTCGTTTGTCTATCAGAGAGAGAATTTCCTCCCGTAAAACTCGAGCTGATTCTCCCTGTGCATGTGAGTGTATTACACCGGAGAAGCGGGGAGGGACAGTGGCGAATTGAAGCCTGTATCCCCGGGAAATTGTGCGCAACACCCACGGTGGAGCTGCTGCTGCTCTCCAGCTTTCCCATCTGAGAGAGAGCGGGGGAACATATTGCGGCTCCTGCCCCGCGCCCCCCTGTGGTGGAACCGAGAAATGATTCTCGGGCACCACCGGAGGCACGGTGGAGCGCTCTGCTCTGCTCCGCGGGGACGGCGGTGCCCGTCCCGGGAGCAGAGCTGCAGGGGGCTGAGCGGCCACCCTGCTTATAGAGAGAGCATCGTCTGTTTTGGCTTTTTTTATTATCTGCACCCTCGGCTCGTGGCCTGGCTGTGACAGATTTATTTTTATTTTGACACCATTTTTTCTTTGAACAAGGGTGTGTGACTGTGCTTTTGGACATTCCGCTCGGGGCGCAACCGCGCAGACCTCCGGGGCGATGTCCTTCTCCTCGCAGACCGGCTCTGGGATGGGCAACGGTGGCGTGGGGTGCGCACAAACAAGCCAAAACGGTGGGCCTGCGCAACGGGGAACAGCAGGCTGCACCAACTGAGGAACTGGCGGCTGTCAGGCCGCCCTCTTTTTCTTCCTCGCCTGTGGGACCGAGCTCGCGGCGGCTGTGGGCGGCGGCGGCGTAGCGGTCGTGGAGGCAGGTTTCCCCTGCCAGCCGGCTCCGCGCTCCTTCCTCATCGGAGGGGGCGGACCTGGCGGTGGTGGCCGTCTTGGTACCTTAAAACGCGGCGGCTGGGAGGCTGCATGCGCAAAGGTTTTGCGTTGCACCGGAGGTGAAGGCGCAGGGGCTTTCCGAGGGAGACAAAGTTTGAGGGCCTCGTTGTCCTTTTTCTTTGCCTCACATCTTTGCTGCATTGTGGCCAATGCAGAGCCGAAGATGCCTTCAGGGACGATCGGCATATCCAGGATGTCATCCCGCTCCCTGTCGGTCAGGTTAGCGAGACTGAGCCATCGCGCTCGCTCCTGGACGACGAGGGTTGCCATCACCTTCCCTGTGGCCTGGACCGCGACACGTTGGATACGGAGAGACAGGTCCGCGATGACCGCCATCTCCTCCCACGCATCCGGGTCTTGCTCCTCAGCAGACGCGCCAAACAACTCCGCTTGGTAGGCAGTGAGGATGGAGAGGGTGCTGAGGGCTCTGGCCGAGAGGGCTGCTGCTTTGTATGCCTTTTCGGTCAGCGCAGACTGGAACCGTTCGGGCTTAGCTGGCAGCGTCGGGCGTCTGGGGGAAGCTGCAGACAGCTGGCTCACGCTGCCTGGGCAGAGGTGCGCAGCTACCGGGACTTCCACCGGAGGCATGGAGAGGAGGCCGTGGGCGTCCATCGCCTCGCAGTCGAGGGATGCTGCGCCCGAAATAGGGCTCCTGTTGCTGTATGGGCAGCTAGTCCATGTTTTGGAGAGCTCCGTCAGCAACTCGGGGAAGACAGGGAGAAGCTGCTTCACCGCATTTCGTGCCAGGGGAAGCCGTTTGCCTTCGTAGCGGGACCGGGTGGGCTCCGCTATTGCGACCGGCCAGGGAATCTCCAGCTTCTCTGCCGCGCGTTTGCACACGTCGAGCAGGTCCACATGGAGGGAGGGAGCTGGTGAGCTCGCTCCCCTGTCTTCCATGGCGGAAGGGCACGGCGGTTTAGGCCTCTCAGGCTGTGCTGGGGCCATGAAGGTGTCATCCTCTTCCTCGTCCTCTGATATGAGGAACGAGGTGTCGTCATCCTCCTCCATGGGACTGACTTCCAGCACGTCTTCCTCGGGAAACGGGGGGGCATGGAGCTGCTCGCACTGGGCACCCCAGTCGTAGTCAGTCTCCGGGGCTTCCCCAGCTGTGTCCACGTCCTCCTCCGCGGCTGCACCTTGTGCGGCGGTGGGGAGGAATGGATCACGGTCCGAGATGCTAACCTGGCGGGCTAGCCTGCATCTGAGGCTCTTGACCGTGAACACTTTGCAGTGTCCACAGGAGCCGGGAATTTCTAGGGCCAACCTGGCGTGGTCGACTCCTAGACAGGTACCGCACACCGGGTGGGTGTCTTTCCCTGAAATTTTATTCCCGCAGCAACAAAGACGGTGGTCTCCCCTGGCGTGGGGGTTTTGGACGGCCGCCATTTCCCGACGAGCTGGAGTGCTGGTAGGGAAAGGAACCGTAGCTAGCTGGCGTGCTAGCGTGGCGGGGTCGAGGAAGTAGCTGGTGTGCTAAATGCTCGTCCGACTCGAGCGTCCGTGGAGAGGAGCCGAGAGGGATTCCGCCGTGAAGAGAGACAAAAGGTTACCGGTCCGGTCTGGAGTGAGCGGACAGGGCAGAAGTCAGAGCACAGTGCTAGCGTCCGGCGACGGAAACTAGCAAGGTCCGTCTGTGGGCAGTTAAGCTAGCGAAGGCTCCGACGTGAGATAAGCTCTCAGGTGAGAAGAGGTTTTGAATTGGAGTGTCGTGATCCGCACACGCTTTAGTAGTCGGAGCTACGGGGCGTGGCGTATGACGGGCACTTCCACCGGCCAATCAGGATTGGCAGATTGAGATAGATGCTTCTATCAGGGCTGCAGGAGGCTGCATCCCATAGCGAGACACCGAGTGAATATTATGAAAAAGAACAGCAATGGACCTAAGGACCACCTTAGGATATTGCAAAAAGTGTTTTAATGTAGCTTTTAAAAAAATTCTTTCGTTTGGATTCGTGGATTTTTATCAGGCAGCAAGTTAGTGCCAACATTATTATACCACATTTAGACATGTTAAGTCTAAATGTGTTAAGTTAATGAAATTAAATTTACTTGTTGTCTTGAGAAAACCAATGTGAAAAAGTATCTGAGGTACACGACCGCTCTCGGCTTCCGTACTGGACAATTATGATGGTACTCCAAAACAAAAAATGTGACCAAAGGTACATGTTAAATCATGTTTGCACTAATTAGCATCACACGTGTGTACAATCTTGCAATCAGTCAGTGTTCCTATATATGGGGCTATGGGTAGTCACTGTGCTGTTTGATGGATGCGACTTACGTTGGGAACGAGAAAGTTTGGGAGGGAGGAATCAGTTATCACCCAAGAAAGGTTTGGTCATTGCACACTTTTAACCCTTTATAGCCTGGACCATAAAATAATTAACACTTTATTAGAGTCGTCATTGAACTTTCTGACAAATGACATCTAAAAAGGAAGTTTGTATAAGTTAAATTTAATCATTTATTTGCATCAAATTTGATACATAAGGTATTTCTCTATAATCTTTTAAACGTTTTCTGTTCCCTACATGCTACTTATTGTGTAAAACAAATCAGGGTTTTCAAGAATAAAAATCTAACACTGAGGGTATAGAGGTCTCAAAAAACCCATGTATCAAATATAATACAATTGGCCTTAAAGGGTTAACAGTACCTTGCACATAATTGGGAAACATGAGACAGGGAGATGTGAAGGTTATGAGGAAGTAGTGATGGTGAGATGAAGCCTCATGAGGCATTGAACCGTTTGACCAAATTGCTTCAAAGGTCCCCACAGTTCATGAAGCTTCATGTGAGCATCTCACCACCTACTGGTGGAGTGCAGAACTACAGTTAATAATATAATTTGTGATTTTTTTTTACCATTTTTTCCCCCCATTTAACTTCCTTTGAAATTGTTAATGATTGGTGTGTAGAAAAAAACATTTTGTGAGTTTTTTGTGTAAAATGTCTTAGAAGACAAAAATTATTTAAGGGACACTTACTGTTTTTCTGCCATTCTAGTGAAATAAGCTCAGGTAAACAGTGAAATTGTTTGTGCAAATTGGGCAAAGATGAACTATGGACAGATGAGAAAAAAATTTGACTTTTTGCCAAGGCACATGAGCTCTATGGTCACAGATGGGACAATTAAGCATATAAGAAAAAAACAAACACTGTCCTACTGAGAAACATAGGGGAGGCTCCTTTATGATTTGGGGCTGCCTTGCTTCATCTGATACAGGGTGTCTTAAATCTTAAATCTTTAAATTAAATCTAAAGAATATCAAGGGATTCCAGAGAGAAATGTGTTGCTTGTCTAAAACACACAGCTAAAAACTTCAAAAAAAAAAAGCTGAGAGGCAAACATTGGACTGTTCTGAAGTGATCTTCTGTGAGCATGTGGAGCAGTTTACCCATGAGGAATGAACCAAAACACCTGCTGAGAGATGCAGAAGTCTGATTGACAGCAACTCTGGCTGTAATTAAGCCTTTTATTAAACAAGGAATGCAAGATTTTATCATTATGTCATGTTTTTATACAGATTTTCCATCTGTTTTCAGGGAAAGTTTAAGTTGGTCCAAAAATCCCTGCGCGCCAATCATACAGAAACAATCTGAACTGCCTGTCCTTCTCACCCTAATGATCCCTGAGTTTTCTCCCCAGGTAAGCCAAAGCTAGGCCAGCTGCACCGAGGCATGTCCATGCTTGCTTTGGCTGAAGAGCAGCAGGAGTAATTCTGGAGGTTTGCTGTGTGGGAGGCCCCAGCTGCAGCTCAGATGTGTCCAGATTAGACTGAGCTGTGCTGAGATTCATGAGGCAGACTGAGGACTTGTCTAGACTTGTCCTCCGACAGAGGAGGGAGGAGAGGAAGCAGAGAGGAGAAACTCTGGTAATATGAGACAACCTTAAGCAGCTCACATATGTATTTCTTTCATATTATGATGCAAAACACCCCTGAGATGTAGATTTCTACTTGACCTAATTTTCTGTGCTTGTCTCTGGGGTCTTGGTCCAGTGATTATCTCCAGCAATGAGTAGGTAAGAAGGAAGGAATACACCCTGGACAGGCTGCCATTACATTAAGACTGTAAGAGGAAGCTGGATTAATTAGGGAAAACCCACACATGCAAGGAAACAAGGTTAAAACTCCTTGCAGAAAGTCCCATTGGTACAATTTAATCAGCAGGACCTGCTACAAGTTGGCAACCAAGAGCCTATGTTGTATTCTTCATACTTTATGAAACTAATTATTTCTATGTAGCAAATGAAAAATCAGTAAATATTCTTGCTCATCCTATGAAGGTCTTCTGTAATGAGGTCTGTCAGTCTACTTTATGACGTTCCTTTAGTATACTGGCCGACAATGTTCAAACAGGGTCAGAGTTTTACATTTCAAATATTTTAATAGTCTTTCTCCTGATCTGAAGTACTTGAATATAGAATACAAGGATTTGATCCTGCAGAAGAAAATGGGGAAATGTTAAAATACATGTATAAATAATTTATGTTATTAAACTTCAATTCAGCTAAACATTCTTGCATTCTTTATAAGTGGTCTCCACCTATAATTATTTGGGATTTTTTAATGCTCTTTGACCATTTCTCTTTGGACTTAAGCTGTCTTTTTATTTTTACTTATCTTCTATACTTATTTTTAAAGTATGTTTCTGTGTTTGTTTGAAAAAAGAAGAAAAGCAGACTACTGTAAGCCAAAGTTAAAAAAAAAAGTGTCCAAACTAAAATGAAAACCTTCTACTGTAAATTTACAGCATTTAAATTTACTAGTTAATAAATGTGTTAACATCTACCACAAAGTCTTTTAGCTCTGTGAATCATTGTGATGGTGTAAAACTATTGCTTGAGTGTTGATATTTATATTTTTTAATTAAAAAAAAGACAAAAAAATGTTTATTGACTCTTACATACACCAGATTTGATATTGAGTTCAATTAAAATTAAAAAACAACAATCAAAGGTGTTTTATGCGTTCAGATGTGTGGTAATTTGAGCACTGGAGATAATTTGATATCTGTTCTACTCCCTTCTTCTGTGTTATCTCAATCCACAGTGGCCAAGTTCTTTGCAGAGACCATAAAACTCAACTCCCACTCGTTCTTTCCATTTAGCTTTGGCCCTTAAAATCGACCTTTGATGTTTGAAGGATGATTCACAAAGTCTGACTGTTAAAGAAAAACCCTTTGAAGGTGAACAATAATTTGTTCATGTGATTGTCTTGCCATGCCAATAACAGAATTAGATGTAGAGTTGAGTTCTATTGCAGACAGGAAGTACCTGTTGAAGAGAAAGTTTTTCATGCATCATGTGGGAGTTGAGCCTTCACATGCAATGTGTTTATGCTGCAGAGTATCACGCTTTGACTTGTTTCTGAGCTGTAGACACTGCCCGCCCCGGAGACTCCCATTTGGAGTAGCTGCTCATGTCGAGGCTTGTCTGGAAGCTCTCACCTTTCTGCAGAGTTTACTGAGGGAACTATGGAATTGATCAGAGGCTAGTCACCACAACCCTACTTAAACATGTAACAGGATACCCAAACAAGGGCATTAACTACGGAAGTTTGCAGACAGGATTAAAGGAATAGTACACCCAAAACATGATTAGCCTTCATTTTCTACTCACCCCCATGCTGAACAACACTCTGGAGTACTTTTTTGATATCTCAAATGCATCTGGAGATCTGGGAGGCTTCTTGCTGTCTGCTGACATTCAAATAATGGAGGTCTATGGTGCCCGAGACAGAAAGGTCCATAAAAGTCCACAAAAAACGTGTCAATATTCCTCCATACTGCTCGTCCAATGTATTCCAAGTGTCCTGAGTGGGTAGCATCCAGAATTTACTCGAAACGAAGTCATTTAGAATGTTTTTAGAGCATAAACAGTAGTGTATATGACGCTCATGACGCTACGGAAGCCGGCAGACCAAACCAGATGAAAGTGCGCATTCAGCGTCTGCTCTGCCGATAATGCAAGCGTAGAAGAAGAAATGTGCCGTTTACCCATGAGTTCTTTGCCGAGCTGAATGCGCTGGTTTGGTCTGCCGGCTTCCGTAGCGTCGTGAGCGCGCATGTGCGCGCTTTCAGGAAATCCTATACACTACTGTTTATGCTCTAAAAACATTCTAAATGACTTTGTTTCGAGTAAATTCTGGATGCTACCCACTCAGGACACTTGGAATACATTGGACGAGCAGTATGGAGGAACATTGACACGTTTTTTGTGGACTTTTATGGACCTTTCTGTCTCGGTCACCATAGACCTCCATTATTTGAATGTCAGCAGACAGCAAGAAGCCTCCCAGATCTCCAGATGCATTTGAGATATCAAAAAAGTACTCCAGAGTGTTGTTCAGCATGGGGGTGAGTAGAAAATGAAGGCTAATCAT